TTCTCAAGTGAAGCATTATTCCGTGAAAAGCGTGGAACTATTTTCAATATTTCTTTTCTTATTTTTCATTCTGCTGATAATAAAATTAATCGCTATATTTGGACAGAAAATAGGTAAAAGATAAACAATTTTCCAAAAGTGTATCATATAAATAATAAAAGAGAAGTCTTGAATTATTCAGTACTTTTAATACAAATTGATAATTGTATTGAGTTCCATACTATTTATAGAAATAGCTCCGAATAAAGAAATTGAAATTACCAAGTGTATTTTAGGTTGGGAAAAGCCATGGCACTACATTCCTCTACTTTGTGAACCCCCGTATAATTGCTTTCCTGTCATTCGCTACGAAATATTTCTTTTTCTGTCTTATTATTCTAATAATCAGTCGTTATTTTCTTTCTTTATGTATGAGAATGCATTAAGAGGTTAGGTAAAAAAAAATTTTGCTAAAATTTTGAACAAATATGCATAATTTTTTAAATTTATTTCAAATAATAGTTCGTTACATTTTTATTTTAATTTTCAATCTATTCTCGCTCTAATTCTGTCTGAAACTCTTTCGGTGATGATGGCAGTTTCATGTGTAATAAAAGTCACGTATCTAACATGTAAGGAAGATGCAGATATCTTTTACTGTCATCATTATAAAATGATCTGTATTAACAAATATAATAAATTAAACGGTATAAACAAACAGCATTTATTTATTATCCATTCTTAATATTATTTTCGGTTATTATCCTTTTGATTTCAATTCTTAGCGATATTTTGATTGGCGGTAATGAGTTTCCCGCGAACGCTATGCAAAATTCACAATGTATGACCGAAAATTTCATTACAAATTACAGTATCGCCATAGGGCAGAAAATAGGTTGGCGTTAGAGTTAACGCTAAACAAACGCAATGCTAAATCTCTCTATTATTAAAAATTAAAAGCTTAGAAAAAAACTGCTGTTCCTTTATTACATAAAAAAATAATCGTATGATATTACCTTTATGTCTAACATTTCATGGTAATATTCATAGATATCGCTTTGCATCATTAAACGGAGAAAAATGTATGCTCTTATAATAAATTTAATCTAAAATTGCATTTAGTCAACATATACAGTAAAATTAANTCGGATCATCCTCCGGGATGTTTCCCAGACCGTCGCTAATAGCCCATTGTGCAGCTCTAGTGCGACGTAAAGTAACAACAACAACAACAACAATAATAAATTTAATCTAAAATTGTATTTAGTCAACATATACAGTAAAATTAATACCAAATAACTATTTAAAAATCTTAAGTAATATTAAGGATCAACTTCATATACTATTGCTAAATAATGTGTTAGGCAAAAAATATTTTCATAGTAAAAAAAAATTAAACTAGAATTTAAAATACAAGTTTATGAACAATGGTAACCGAGTGAAATGATTAGGCTTTGGTTTAGTGATTAGGTTTATTCCAGTCTAAGAGACTAAGAAACAATCTTTAAAACCAAATCTATATTAGCACAAAAAAAAATTGCATTGTTTAATTGAATAGTTTTCAATTTGATATAACAATCAGTTTATCATTAAAAAACAAAAATGGTTAGGAAGTAATCGAGGGAGTCAGTGAAAAAAGTGAACGAGGAGCGGTGACCCCTAGTATGATGTAAAATGTCTTGTAATCACTTCATTAATTATCTTCTTTATTTTTTATTTTGCTCAATACTATAAGAAGCAGCTGCATATGAAAAATAGCAACTTTGTTACTTTCTTGTCATCATTTTATGTCTTATAAGGGTAAGAAGGGACGTTGTTAGGGTTATGTTATAAGGATGTCATAAGGGAACAGATAAGGATTCAGATGCTCTAAAGGAACTAAACTACTGAACGATATTACTCAATACAAATCAAAAATTTTGTTTAAATATATATCTCATTCTAAAAATTTGATTTTAGTGTAGAATTATTTGCAAGCAAGAAAGCGATAGAAAGAAACTTGAAACTTTAATAAGCGTGACGTCCGAAAACTAGTGGAAATGACTGAAAAGAACAGAGTTTTATTTTTTCGAATGAAAAGTACAGTCTAAAAAATAACGAAGGAAAAATGAGCAATGGAGTTCTGAACAATTAGTAAAAGTTCCTTCTCCCCACTATGTAAACACTTTACCCTGTCCTCTAAGGTTGGTTTACTGTTACAAAAAATAAAGCTAATCCTCACACTACAAGACAAATCACAAAAATATTTGGATTGTATGAATTAAATATTTTTTAAGCGATCTGCTTCTTCCCCTGATCTTAGTTCCACAGAGAATCTGAGGAGAATAATGAAAAATAAATTTGAAGAATCAGGACTAAATTAGTCATCGTTCTCTCGTTGAAATATGCACGTTAAAATATACTCGTTTAATCTGTGCCAAGATAGTTCCTGAAAAATCAAATTTTAAATTCCAGAATTTTTTAAAATTTTATTTCTTAGTAACAATTTAACCGATTTTTGATCGAATTTTGTATTTTGTAAAGTTACAATTGTGTAAAATTACGTACTTTAAAATGACGTAAAAAATTGTATACCTTTTGATTCAAAAAATTTTCGACTATTATTTAATGAAACAATAAAAAATAATAAATATTTATTTTCTTGCATGGAATTATGAACGAATTTTGTAATTGTGCGCAAAAATTTCTCGAGATAATGCGATAGACTCAAAAAGTTAAATTAACCAACAATATTGACTGTGCAGGCAGTTCAAGTGCATGTTAAAAATAGAATTGCATATTGAATGCGAAAAATTTAGGCCTATAAATAACTTAGCACGGCCTTGAGGGTAAAAACATATCAAGTGACCAACCACAATGCGAGCAAGATTTACAAATTGCCCCAGAACATTTTTTTATTGATTCATAAACTTTTTTAATGGTTTCTAGATTATTTTCTTCCCAAAAATAAGCTTGAAACTGTAAACAAAAATATTTAAAAAGGAAAAAAAAAAAGCATACGTGTTGTCCCTGTGGCGCAATGGAAAGGAGATCAGTGGGGAAAGCATCTGTATGTTTCGTTCGGGAAATACCTTGCTTAAAACTGATTACCAACGTGATAATTTTTTGTAAAACATTTTTCTAATTAAAACTATTCTCTATGTTTGTAAACTTATTTGTAAGTTTTTTTAATGCTTTTAAATTTATGTTTTTATTTATAGATTTTTATAATACCGTAAACTCAATTTTTACGCTATACATACACATACACATTTACTATATATACACACACACATAAAAGCTTCGCCCAGACCCGCCCACAGCCAAGGGCGGCGCCAGTAGGGGGTCAGGGGGGGCTGGAGCACCCCCGNAGATTTCACCATAATTAATTCATCATAATCAATATCATAATTCTGGCAAATTTTGATTCTTTCCTCCCCAGTATATTTCAACTTCTTAATATATGAGTTTTACCCTGACTCTCCCCCGCAATGGGCCTCCAGGGATACCGATAGCCCACCAGGGTACTGATTAGTGAACAACTGTTCAAATGCAAAAACAAGGTGCAACTCCAGAAAAATCTAGGTGGTCTGTGCAATGTAAAATCAATACTACATGCTTTAAAATCAAGAAAGATAACAAATGTAAAGAAGTTCTTGAAGAAAACGGATTTTTCAATAAAATAAAGAACAGATGAAAAGATGTTCCGTTACAAAAAGAAATTCAATAGATGAACTGATGTAATGAAGTGAATGCAAGATATAAAATACGCGAAAATTAATATAGTTTATATATTTCGTGCAAGAATATTTGTCAACAGTCTGGAATGATATTAAGAGTGTGGGCAGTATTTTAAAAAAATTTTGAAGGATCTTTGTGTCTGTACTTTTTAAAGGCCTATATGATAAACTTTAAATACTACAAACGATATAACTTTAATAACAAATTATTATTTCTTGTATATGCTAATATTCAATGACATGCCAGTTTGATTTTTATCACGGATTTAACGAGATAACGTTTTAACAAGCTAATCAAGACTTTCAAGATAACATGATATAAGACTTTCAAAATTACTAGAAAAATTCTATTTAATTGGAAACCTTTATCGCGCATTTCCAAGTTGTGGTGTGCATATACCATAACTCTTGACATCCATTTAAAAAAACATACAATCGAAAATTAAGGACACTAAAACCTCATATGTATTCCTATTATTCTTATAACAAAATGTTTTTCAGTAACAAAATAGCTTGGGAAGAATAAAATAGGATTTTCAAGCAAATTTAATAATGAAGTTATTTGGATCATTAAAATTTAAATGTATTTTGCATTTAAGAAACAAATATAAAAATATTTTACTGAAAAATTTGGATTTAGAACTTTTTTTTCCTTCTTTTTTAACACTGCACTTTGATTACATTCCCCTTTTTCAGGTAAGTATAATGGAGGAGTTAGTCCATCTCTGCATTCCTTTCCTTTCTGTCATGAAGCAGAATTTGGTTAGAGAGGAACAACTTAAAGAGATTTTAAATGGCTTCAAAATAAATAACATGTTCGAACTCATCGCCTAAATATATATGCAAATATTTTTGTTTGATATCATGATTTTATTTACATTATGATTTTATTTATTTTATTTACATTATACACTTGGTGCCATTTCCTTGTTGTTTGTATTAACGTCACGTCACGCATTGAAAACCAGTCAAATCAATTGTAGTGGAATACTTTTGTCAATATTGAACGCTTTTCAAATCAGCTTTTACGTTTAAACAAAATATGGATGGATAAAAATGTAAAATTTGACCAATAGAAAATTAATACTTTTTCATACTTTTAAGCGAAGGTAAGAAATTATATATTTTAAGTATTTCATCAGGAAAATAAATAAGATTTTGAGATTCTTCACTGGTTTACAGTAAAAAGGAATAGAAATGATAAAAACTATGAATTTTTTTTTTGTTTTTTTTTTGTTTCTTAATTTCATCTTAAAACACAAATATTCACATTAAATATACAATGAAATCATTAATACTTACCAGATAGTATCTGCAACCAGCCACAAACATGAAAAACAGTAGACGAATGGCAGACGAAAAACAGAAACATACACAGAATACACAACACAACTGCTATTGCTGATAAACCTATAAAAATAGTCGCCACTTTAAAAGCGGGTGACAAAATAGATCCAAAGTCTTCTAATTTGCCTTGACAAACTAATTCCTGCCCATCCTCAATGCTTTGTCGGCAGGATTGCCACAGTCCAAAGTAGCCGGTTCTTGGACTTTGTGGTGTATCGCCAATCCATTGTGGCTGTATAAACACTACAGCATTAATTATAGCAAAACAAATCGTAAATACACCCCATAGAACACCTATGGCTCTTGAATTTCTCATATAATTTGCATGGTAACCACTGGCCTCGGAATTGTATTCATATTTTGAGGGATCCATTTTAGTAAACATTAATAAGTCGGATTTATAGAATGTTTTGGTTTCTCGATAGGCCAGCAGAGAAGAAATCTAAAGAAAAAAGGTGAGCTTAAAACCTGTCTGGCTAGTTTTTTCTTCTCTTGGTTTCTCTCTTCGAGGTCACGGAACTTGATAGTCGAATGGTTTTCGGTTCTTCATATTTTATTTTCCTTACACTCCTCTCACGGGTTGTATAGTTTAATCGGGAGGTGATTTTTAAATAGCTTTCATGGAATGCAACTGGATTTGTGTTCTTTTATTCTTTTTCTATCGGTCGCTTGGATTGTAGGTTGTAAGGCGGACCGAAAGGAAGCCAAGGACGAAGATCGTCTAATAAAAAGCTGAAGTGTTTAATACAATTATTTTTTAATTATAACACTATGAATTGTTCGTGTATAGTTCTTTAGAGCATTTCCGCAAGTCTCATAACAATTAGAGAATCAGACGGTTTCATTCATTCGACCCTATTATGAGTCTCTGATTAAGATGAAGATCTGTCAAGTCAATCGGAGTATTTTGTAAAATATAATTTTATTCAACTTTTACTCTAGGCCAATGTTTTTAATCATTTGTGTTTTTATGACACAAAAATTTAGAAACGATTTAAAAACGTGATTATTTATGCTTTCTAAATCTGAAATTTTATTTCCACTTAATTATTTAAATAGCATTGCCTAAAAAAGAAAATTTGGCGTATTTTCTGTCTGACAAAACAAATTCCAAACAGTTTAAATTATTTTCTCCTGGTAAAGAAAATTCGATCATTATATCCAAACTGTTATGTTTAGACTGTTTATTTGTTTGAGACTGTTTATTTGAAGCACCAAGAGATAATTTCACCTAGAACCAACTTCGCCGGTCTGGAAAAATATACAGCATCATGAAACCCTAACTCCTTTTATAAAGACAATAATTTTATGATTTCAAAAACTGATATCTGTAAAAGTTTATGAAAAGCCCAGATAATTTTCTTTACATTTTCAGTTGCTTTCTGGTAAATGTATTTTAAAATTAATAAAAAAATTTCATTAAAAGAATTTCTTCAAGTCCTTAATTTGAAACCATGCCACCATCTAAACCATGCTATGTTAAGAGCATATATATGGTTAAAATAACGGAGGACACATTGTGAATTTTTTATAAATTTTTGCAATGATTAATTCGTTTAAAACTTGTTTCAGATTTTAAAGTGAGCGTTACTTTTTTCAAAAATACCAATATGTTTCAAGAAATATTGAAATAAGTTCTCAAAATTTTTAAGAAAGGTTTGTTTACTCACGGTATGAGTATATTTATCGATAACATAATGCGAATTTCTTATAATTTTTTTGCAATGAGAAATTCAATTGAAACTTGCTTTAGATGAAAAAAAATTTTTTTTTTCATTATCCATAGTCTTCATTAGCAATAAATTTTACCATAGTTGTGAAGAAATAAATACTCAAAATTTTTAAGACGCATTTGTTTAATCAAAACCATGTTATGAAAAGAGCATATAATAGTCAACACACTGGAGTTTATTTCGCGATTTTTTTAAACTTTTTTGCAATAAGAAAATCATTTGAAACTTCTTTCGGATTACAAAGTGAGCATCAATTCTTTCAAAAATACCCATTATTGTCAAGAATTTTTCAAAATTTTTAAGAAGGGTTTGTTTACCCCAAACAATTCTACTTTAAGAGCATGTTTATAGCTAACACACATATTCGAGGACACTTTTCAAATTTTTTTTATAATTTTTGGAAATGAGAAATTTATTTGAAACTTGTTTCAGATTTCAAAGTAAGCGTCAATTTTTTAAAAAAATGCACTTAGATGTGAAGAAATAAATACCCAAAATTTTTAAGAAGCATTTGTTTAATCCAAACCCTGTTACATTAAGAGCATTAATATAGTTAACAAAATGAAGGATAAATAGCGAATATTTTATAATTTTTTGCTTGAGGAATTCGTTTGAAACTTTGTTTCAGATTACAAAGTAAGCGTCAAATTTTTCAAAATACCAATATGTTTCTAGAAATAAGTACTCAAAATTATTGATAACATAATGAGGACACTTTGCGAATTTCTTATAATTTTTTACAGTGAGGTATTCATTCGAAACTTGTTTCAGATTAGAAAGGAAGCATCATTTTTTAAAAAATACCAATATGTTTTAAGAAATAAGTACTCAAAATTTCTAAGAAGGATTTTACTCACGTTAAGAGCATATATGTATAATTAACATAATAAATGACAATTTTCGATTTTTTTTCCCTGATTTTTTTGCAATGAGGATTAATTTTTTACAATTTTTCCAAAAATACCCATATGTGTCAAGAAATAAGTAATCAAATGCTTTAAGAAGGATTTGCCTGCTGCCAACAATGATGTATTAAGAGTATATGTATAGTCGACGAAAAGGAGGACAATTTGAGAATTTTTTAACATTTATTGCTATCAGGAACACATTTCAAACTTGATTAAGATTAAAAACTGAGCGTCAATTCTTTCAAAATTACCCGTATATGACAAAAAATAAGAACTCCAAGATTTATGGAAAGCAATTTCTTTTAGTCCAACAAATGCTACGTTAGGAGCATGTATATATAAAACCAAAGGAGGACATTTAGCGAATTTTTTCTAACATTTTCCAATGAGAAATTCATTTGAAACTTAATTCAGATTACAAAGTTCACGTCAAATTTTTCAAAAATACCCATATATATGAAAGAATAAGTATTAAAATTTTTTTAAGAAGCGTCTGTTTAGTCTAAACCATGTTACGTTATGAGCATGTAAATGATTAACATAATGTAGGACACTATGCGAATTTTTTACAATTATTTCATATGAGGAATTCATTTGAAACTTGTTTCAGAAGAAAAAGTTAGCACCAAAATTTTCAAATATTCCCTTAGTTGTGAACAAATAAATACCAAAAACTTTTAAGAAGTATTTGTCTAGTCCAAATCATGCTACGTAAAGAGCCATGCTACGCCATCCATGCTAAGATCTTATCAGCTCTTATCCTATAGACCAGTGTTTCTCTAAGTGTGGTACGCGTACCCCCAGGGGTACGGGAACAGTTTAGCGGGGGTGCGCGTTCTTATGCGAAATATCTTACAACAAACGAAAATTTCAAAATTTTTTTATTAAAAAACAAAGCTAGCCATGAAATTTTACGATTGCGTATTTTTGTATTGGCTATTTTTTGCTGAGTTAACAGTTAATAATTAGTGGTTTCAACAGCCAATTGTGATTTTTACCTTTCATGCAATTTTTTTTCATCACAGCAAGACGAATATCATCCTTCTCACTGATGCAAAGAAACTTATTAAGAAAACTTTGTGCCAAAAAAGAAAAATAAACATATTTTTAAAACAATACATTCATTTTTTTACTTGTGGTACGTATAATTTACTGTTAAATCATTTCATGCATTGATTGAAAGGTGCTTTGGAATGAGTTGTAAGAAACTAAATAATTTTTCTTAAAATTGGGAGTTTTAGAAAATAAAATTCACGCATTGCTGTCCTGAAGGGTAAGCAATGACTACAATGAAGTGGAAAAAAAGGAGTTTCAAGTTTCTGTAAAACAAGATTAACAATAATTCCTAAGTTATTTTCAATTGACCTTTCCTCTCTGCCAAAAATATGTATTAATAACATCAGTAAAATGCAAACATTTTAATACATCTTGTTAAAATTTTGATAGATAATTTTCTGTATGAAATTAGAATAAAATTTATTCTTCTTTATTAAATATTTATTAATATTATAAGATATATGTTAATAAATATTTAATATTATAGATGTTTATAGATTTGATTTGTTTATTTACGTCGCACTAGAGCTGCACAATGGGCTATTGGCGACGGTCTGGGAAACATCCCTGAGGATGATCCGAAGACATGCCATCACAATTTTGATCCTCCACAGAGGGGATGGCCGTAACCTCCGAGATTACGGGATGGCCGTAACCGATTCTTGGAGGTTACGGGATGGCACCCCCGCTTCGGTAGCCCGACGACCTGCGCGCGAGGTCGAGCACTTTACGGTAGAACAGTTTAATGAGGACCAATACCGCACACCCTCGGTCCCTACGCTGACTGATCCAAGTGGTCACCCACCCACACACTGACAGCAGTCAGTAATGCTTGACTTCGGTGATCTGCTGGGAACCATGTCTTAACGATCAGTCCACTGCGGGACAGATGTTTAAGGATGTTTTGTTTTTGGTTACCTGACATTGCAGTTTAAAAACTTATCTTTCAAGGGGCATTCACACTGCATACAATTCGAGCGCTCCACAATTTATTCTTTTTGCGCCCTCTATAACTACTTACAAATTCAGTTTTTGTAGGCTATGGGTGAACAGAAATAGATAACAAAGTGCTCCTTAATAATTTTATAACAGTAAACAAAAATCGAAGGCAAAAATAAAAATTAGAAATTTAATTTAAGTAGTACTGAAAGAGCAATTTTCCCTACATTTTTCATCATGAATCGTAGTGTTGGAATACTTAATTCGATGTCAAGAATAAAAAAGGGCATTGCTCTAAGTAATTCGAAAATTTTTGTTGAATTATGCTCCAAGTCAACTTTACTGCAATTTAATCAATTATTGTGCCAATTATTTTACTGACAGTTGCTTTATTTTCATATTAGTTTTAAGCCTATTTATGTAAATTAAAAGATACTGTGCAATTACAATGCAATTGCTATATTTTTTAAATTAATAATTTTTTAAACTACATGTATTTTATTGTACATAGCATTTTTCTACTACTTCTTTCATTAAAATAGATTTCGGCAAAAAACTAAAAGGTTCAAACTTTAGCTAATATGCCAAAGAGTTTTGTACTTACAAAAATTTAAAAAAGAAATATTTATTTGTATGCTAGAGAGTGGCGATGAGTTATCTCCTTCAATTGGTCTCCCACTGAGATGTTTTTTTTTCTTTTCAGTTTCTCATAGACTACTGCTTAATTGTTGGCAAAACTTGAAGATTACTTTGGTGCGAGAGCTAATATAAAAATGTTTCTTCAAATTTAGTTAAAAATCCCAAATTCTATATAAAGCAATGTTAAAATTTACTGATGAAGGATTATCTGAACCTTTTTTTAGTTGATTTCATGCCAATGTAACAGCAGTAAGATATACCTGAAATTCATAAAGGATGAAAGTCCTCTTATTGGTTTTATGTGGAAATTCAGTGAAAGCAGTTCGGATGCTGCTTCCATTGTCTGGCAGTGGTGGAAAAAAAATGTTCACACTCTTGCCATGGCTGTTAAAAGATAGAACTCTGAAAAATGGGACTATACGGTTGGTTAATGTGATGTACTTTTATAATATGAAAATTTTGTTCACATAAGTATGTTCAGTTCCAACTGCTTCAAATACTTATGACTATTCTTAGCACAAGAACTGATATAAGCTAACTATACATACATATTTGCAATTTTAAAAATTTATGATCTAGAATTTTTGTTTTATTAGTTTGATTTTACTAATGTAAAAATTGTTTTTATATTATTCAGGTCCTGATATTTGGAAGTTTTCATATTCAGTTTTGAGCAGGCTGTATTCTTCAGATGAAAATAGGTGTTTTTTTTTAAATTTTGTTTTTATGTCTTAGTATAATTGATTAGTTTTAATAATAGTGATAATTTGTGGGTAAAATAATAGTCTTAGTATCAGGGTTGCCACAGGCGACTAAAATGCAACTATTTGTAACTATTTTTGGCATGGCAACTTTTTTGTCTGAAAAGGCTAAAAAAGCAACTATTTTCAGGAAAAGGAGACTAGTGGGAGACTTTTCTGTACTCCTAGCTATGTTCAGACTCCATTGTTAGTCTATTTCATTTCTCGATCGCCTTTTCAATGATTATTGCTTCGCAATTCCTCATGATTTTTAAGAAGAAATTTTTTTTACTAAGATATTAGAATGCGTGAATTTCGAATTGAGTAATCACTTTTCGTATGTATATATATATATATATAAAAAAACACATGCACACACACTCATATATATATATATACATTTACGTTTACATACAAATTATCATATTTGCCACCAACTTGACTGAATGGATCATGGTATATGACAATTAAGTCATTAACAAAATTTTTGTCCTATTTTTGGTGAATTTTTGTTCTTATTTTGGCTACTATTTTCATGTTTTAGCTACTAAAAGCAACTATTTTGTTCATTTTTTCTGTGGCAACCCTGTAGTATGTGGGTGGGTATAATTTAAATGAAATGAATTTTTTAAGAAAATATTTTAAGTATTAAATAAATGTTTAGTGTTTCAACTTATAAATTAACATTTGTATTAAGATTAATGTCCTATATTATGGTTAGTATAATGTATTTGCTTTGCTATGGTGTATATTTCTTACAATATTTCATGCTAAAAATTTTTTTAAAATTAATAAGTTTTATTTATATTTTTATTTAATTATTTTCTTTTTATTTCCTTTATAATTTACACGCCATTTTAAATAACATGAGTATCTTATAAAAATACTTTTGTTTGAAATAAATTTTAGTTTTTTACTGTAAAGGTAATACAATAAATTTAATAGTTTCTTTGTCACATTCCTCATTCTAGTATGAATTTTCATTAATTGAACGCAAGTTTGTGGTTCCTATATCCAAATAATTATAAAATAATTTTAAGAACAATGCCTAAAGCTCATGGAAAAATGTGGATAAATTTCTCAGCATTTTTTTTTTTTATACTTTCTTAATCCTTGCATTAAAAAAATGGTTTAATGAAGTGGTTTATAAATTGTGACTGTTTCTTTCATCCCCAAAGCTGACTATGACAAATCATAAAGTTATTTGTTCTATCTTTGCATTCTGAACTATCAAAATAAAAAATTTACCTCATTCGAGAAAATTCCTTCATCAAAACTCATTTAATAATGTCAATCTTCTCCATTCAGTATTATGAGCAGCCATGAAACATATTCAAATTCATTACAAAAGTTTATAAACACCCATTCAAATTATCTATTTTGTTTCATTTTTTAAGAATGGCAAAAATAAGTTGCAGATTATATATTGTTAGCATCCCTGGATGTGGCCACTAAACGCTAATGTAATATTTTTTTCGCTAAAATTTTAAACAGTGTCTTCAATTTATTATATATTTAAAATATGTTTTACCTTTCCTGCATGCATAATTTTATTTATTAATAATAAAAGTTATTTTAATAAAAAAAAAATTTTTATGCTTAACGCATGTACAAATAGACACAATTTACTTTTCATTACTGAATATTAATTTCTTTAATTTTTTTCTTTGTAGAAAATCATGGACTGTTTTATCTAATAATGGACAGATTATATGTTGTTGGCATCCAGAAGAAGCACCTCCATATGAACATACTAAAGTAATCTTTTTTCTTCTTATCAAAATGTATTTTTTATTTATTATTGTTATTATTTTTGGTTTTATTAGTATTGACTTGAAAACCACTACTCTCTAAAATAGAAAGAATAAGAATCTAAATAAAATAGAATTTCAAAACTGTGATGTACATTGCAAAACAGTTTAAGTACCTTTTCAGCAATCTATATTATGCCGGCCAGGTGGCCGAGCGGTCAGAGTGCCTGATTGCGAAGCCAATGGTTGCGGGTTTGAATCCCGCTTAGGGCATGGATGTTTCTCTGTGTGATGTGTGAATGTGGCCCACCCTATAAACGGGTATCTGTGGCGTGGGTAATGTTGCTCGCCTCCATGACTTAGGTTCACAGGTGCCCACCGGGTAACCTTAAATAAGCAACACTTCATGCATCTTCCGCGGCGAAGAACGAAATTTCTGTGCCAACCATAGAAAAGAAGAAAAAAACTCTTTTATTAGCAGAACTATTAATTCAATTTTCTTGCAGAACAACTTATGTCCAAGTTTTGATAAAAATTTGTTTTATTGTTAATTTTTGGTAGATATTTTGATATTTAATCTTTGAATTTGAAAGAAGCTTGATTCATTTATGAATTAGTAATAGTTTTAAAAATATGTATAAATGCACTTCTTTTTTTATCAGAACCATTTGTTATTAATTATTTACACCACATGACATTAATTAGTTACACTTTAGCACACATTTTCTCTTTGTTTGGGAATTGAGGTTGTTTACTCAGCCTCCAAAGCCCCTAAAAATATTATCTTTAAGTATTTAGCCAAGCTTTTAAAGCTGTTATAAATCAATTTGTTGCAGCTGTTTTTTCCTACTCAGTCTGAATGAAACAATTTTTGAGCATGAAAATTGAATTTATTTTGAACATGATTAAAGTATACAATTTACTTGTCGAACGGATAGCTTTATGTAATGCAGTAAACTGTGGTAAATGTATAAAAAATTAGTCTGATCTAAATCATTAATTTATAAGTTTTATTTTTATGGTGATTCATCTTGAAACATGGTCTAATTAAGTTGAAATAAAATATTATTACTGTTAAAATATCTGAAACATTAATATCCTAAATATTAAGAACAGGGCTATGATTTTGATTAATCTCTTAGTATGTTATAAGTTATATTATCGAAACAAAATTTTATTTTCTAAGCAATGATTATGTATTTAAAATAATTTTTAACAATTCTATCTTATGTTACTAAAGTTTTAATTTTATTTGTTTATAGCCATTGCCTGATATAGCTCCTGAATTTCGTGAGGTAAAATGATCATTTTTGTCTATCTATTTACTGTCATTATTAGTTGATATATTTATTATTTCTAAGATAATTTTAGAAAAAAATAATATTTATTTTTTAACTATTTACTGTCATTATTATTTTAAGTATATATATGTACTGTTTCTAAGATAATTTTAGAAAAAAATATTTATTTTTTTATTTGACGAAAAAATACTGTTAAATTGTGAAATAGTCCTTTTTGTTATTTTTAACTTTTATTATTATTGGTAAATTATACAGATTTTTAGTCTGAATAGTTTATTTAATTTTTTTTTGTTAAAATATTTCCTATCAATTCTTTTAATTTGATTATTTTCTCTCTTTCATTAAAAGTGGAAATTTTAAAGTTAGTGACTAGACGTTACATTTTTGCTCTATTATCGAGCATTGTGGCTTGCAAACAGTATTGAAGCAAGAAAAATATTCCAATAATTAAACATAATGAAATAAAATTTTGAATGAAGTTTTGTTCTTGACAAATATATTGATATCATGTATGTAAAATTATATAACTTCTAGCATATAATTACCTAAAACTGTTTATAGCTGAATGTAATATTCTGTAAAAATATTTTACGTTAGATTTTAAATGTTATTTTGAGTGTGTTAGGAAAATATTTTCTTAGTTTTAACTTTATAAAGTACAAAAATAATGACTTTATCCACATTTTCTATTTTATAAAATTTTTATAGTTGTCGGAAAAAATATGCACTATATTATTTATGTTGTTTTTGTATTATAAATAACAAATTCTCAAATGAATAAGATTTTTAACGAGAGGAATGATATATTAAATTAACCAGTTAGTGTCCATAGTTCCATTTAGAGATAAATCTTAAAATACAGCACATGCTTTTATGACTTAAATTATATTTAAGTATTAAATTATAGTTTTAGCATGCTAAAGTTCATAGTATAGATGAATCTGATTAAGCATAAATTATATTAATCCCAAAATAAATTGCATTTAGTGTGCTTTCTTAAAAAAGAAATTAGACAGCGCATATCAAGTTTTCATTCTTTAATTTTTAATTTTGATAGTTATGGTCAGACTTAAAATCTTTAAAGACATCATTTAAATGCACAGATGTTTTCCTCTGTAATATATTTTTTAGAACTTTAATGATTGGAACATTAGATTATGTCACCCATATAAAGTAGAAATTGCAAACTGTCCCTGCATCAAAATTTTTTTTTATATCTTTGGACACAAGCTGTTGTACTTTGGGACACAATTTATATTTCAGACAACAGTCATATATTTTAAACTAATTATGCTAACAAATTTTTTTTTTCCTTAAAAACTGAATTAACGAAATATTTATTGGAAATGAATAAAGAATAGAAAATTCAGTTCAAACCTAATTTTAAAAAAAACTCTCAATGTGGAAATGTGATGAACGGGACAAGCTTAAACAACTAAAGAATTTTAATTTCGTATAGCATTTATTGCAAGAGGAAAATGCATATTAATATCAAGTCTTAAAGTCATGTTCTCTATTTATGATATAATTATTAGGTAGAGGTAGAATTGGAAACATGAAAATTGAAACTTTTTATAAATATTTTTTAGAAATTAAAAAATTGCGTTTGAGGACACTTATATATTATTATTTAGTTATAGGACACAGAAACTGTTTTATAAAAATTTTACAAAAAAAAAGTTAAAATGAAGTAGAATTATTTTCACTTGACTAAAACATTCTAAAAAATCTTCTCTCCTGTAACTAAATAAAATTCATGTCAATATTTTTAGGATTTGATATTTAGAAAATGAAAATAGAATGCTTACAAAAATTTACTTCTTAGTGATGAAATTTTCTTTCTCTCACAGTGATATTCCAAGGCTTTGGATGCAATTTTTTGTTGTGATATCACGTATTGGTTAGGTCATAATTAGAAATAATAATGCTTATGTTGTCATTAGGCTATAAGAAATTGTCACTGTCCGAAAGTACAACGCTCCTGCACGCCTTTTTATTTACAAACTAAAAACGTGATTAAGTATAGTTAATTTTTTAAGTAATTTGCATTTAATAAATATCTTAGTTTAAATAAATATGAAAATACTTTTTATGTGAATACAAATTAGGAGAATACTTTTTATGAGAATTTTAGATTTCGATAGTTTTTTTTTTCCAATTAAAAAAAGTTTGGCTGATTTTTTTTATTTAATTTTATAAAACAACTTTGAGAGTCGGTATTTAATTGCTTATTTAATCTAGTTTTCAATAAACATGTTCCCTAATATATTTATAGTTGCGGAATTTATACTGTTATTTTTGTTATGTATTTAATTTTGTAGATAAGTCAAATTGTCTCTTTTTTTTTTAATGGTTTCTAAAATGTATAAATTTTTACTTCCATAATTTTAATTAAATATTTGTAGGGTGATTCGGTTTTAAAAGTGCAGTACAGACGTGACGCTAAAATTCGATTTCAGCCGGATGGACCTACTATGGAGGAATTAGCAAAGATGACTTATACCACAAAACATAGATGGTATCCAAAGTATGTATATTTTTGCTTGAATTTTAAATTAAATGTTATGTATGTTTTCTTGCGGTTACTCTGTATGTATCTCAATGTATCTTCTTGTGGTTACTCTGTATGTATCTCAATGTATCTTCTTGTGGTTACTGTCTATGTATATCAATATAACATTCTATGATTGCACATCCTTCTTTCAATATTAAATAATTATAAATCTTTTTAAGAATTCATATTTATTTAATATAATTATTTTATTGAATAGTCAGTTTTAAATGTCTGAATGAAAAAAAGAGCGTGAATACATTTAAAGTTTTTATTTATTTTTTATAATTATTTATTTACTCACATTTTTGATATTTTCTTTTAGCAATGAAAAGAAATATTTAGATCCTGAACCAATCAATCGGGATGGAATTTGATACATTAAAAGGATAATTGTAAATAACTTCAAAATCTGAATTTTATTGTGTTTATTTAATGATGTATTCGCATGTTAATTCTTTCATAAAACATTTAGTAATAAATGATTGTAAGTAGTCTGATTTTGATTTTTCAAAACCGTCTATATATTTTGAACCTTAGGAAAGTTAGTGATTTAAATTTTAATATCGGGGAAATTTCTCAAAAATGTACAGTAACCTAGTTAATCTGGTCCATTTGGGACTGTTACTCGATTGAAATACCAAAGACTCTGATTGTAATTGTATGTACATTTTGTCTCAACAGTGCTATGTAGTGATGCATTAGAATTTTAATGATAGTTTTTTTAAGTGTAATAAAGCAAAGAATACACTCGATTATTTCCTAAGCTTTCTCATTATGCAAGTTGATTGAAATTGCGTTATTTGGTGATTGCTTTTTGATATATTGCAAGTTTTATTCAGTTGATAAACAAGTTGCAAACACACATGTAAGTCATACTTTTCATGACATGCTTCATCACAATTTGTATTTACACAGATTACAAATCATGATAAAGGAGAACAAAGACGCTGCTGATGTTAGGTATTTTAGCTTCATTGATTTCAATTATATAATTTGTGTCTCTCTACTAGCTACAGTATTTATGCAATTCAATGAAATATTATATTTCTAACCAGCAAATTTTAAAATTCAGTCGAGTGAATATTAAGTGTCCATACTTCTCAGTTACGTAGGGAGTAGTAGGAAAGGGGTGACAATACATGTAGGCCATATGTTTTTTGTCTTGAGTGTTATTTTCAAAAAAGTAGACAAGTGTTTAGGTTCTTTTTTATATTCTTTTCTTATACATTCTTTTTTAACTTGTACATTCAGACAAAAAATCCAATCAAAAAATATCATTTTGACAAAAATCTGTTTCTTTCCGGACAAAACTAATTTCTGATTTGAAATCCTCACATCCAAATCAAGTACTTGTTTAAACGCACTAATCTGGTTAGATGCCTGAGCTGTTTTGCTCGTGTAGTCTCTCTATGAGTATTTTTACTCAGATTATTTTCATAATAATTTTTGAGAATTATTATTGGTTAAGATTACCTAATATTTTGGATTTGTTGGGTTCTACTTTATTTAAAAATTATTTTTCTTTAATTTTAATCATAATACTTTTTCACTCTAAAGGTCATTAATGATCCTAGTTAGACTATGCTTAGTTTCCATAAGCACTATAATAAAAAACAATTCTTTATAACATTAACTAGATTCATACTTCATTCACCATTTTTAAACAAAATGAGAAAAAATTAAACATCAATAAAATTTTTTGTCTTGTACTATCTGTTTTTAATACACTATTCTGATATATTTAAACTAAAATATGTTAATATATTTCTAATCATTTTAAATATTTTTATAGATCCCCCATACCATATTTTATGTTGTATTTCATTGGACAACACACATAAATAGTAAGATACAAAAATAAGATAAAGTATTTGAAGTCTTGTTACTAAAATCAAAGGTTCCAAATTATGGCAACTTTTTGAACAAATTCATTTCAGAGCATAGGAAATGTGTCCATAAAATTTAAAAATTATTCAAATTAATTTTTTTACTTTTAAGTCAGAAACTAATCTTAAAATAAAATAAAAGAATCAGTAGTAGTTATATGATAAACAAAATAGATGAAAGAATGGACACATTTATTAGGTTGTCAAAAATCTTGGATTTTATCAATCAAGGTAAAAGTATTATTTTATGATATATAACAGTTATGTTTTATATAAAGTACTTAATATACTTAAACAAAATATTTGGTGATTGCTTTTAGATATATTGCAAGTTTTATTCAGTTGATAAACAAGCTGCAAACACACATGTAAGTCAGTATTAGTTGCCTAAATTGGTTAAAAAAAATAATTGATTAAATCAATAACAATTGTGAAAAATTGTCCAGTTATGAATTGGAGACACTACTGTGCTTTATAACATCCACATTTGGGCAGGCTTCAGAGCTAATTGATTTAGATAAATTATATTTTGTGATCATAGTTTGTGGAATTCAGGGTTGGGATCTTTTCTTGAATGACAATGGAAGCATCTGCTATTAATAATTAAACATATATAAATGCATTAATTTTATTACTATTCCATTACGTTTTCTTCAAACAAAATTTGCATAAGAAAAAATAATAAATCAATATGTAATATTTATTTATGATACTCTGAGACACATTATAGGTTTAAAGTAATTAAGAGTCTAGAGAGAAAAAGAGAAGATTTATTCAACGACAGTGTAAAAATTAAAACTTCTTTCACATACACATAGTTCTTTTAGGATTCCAGAATAAATAGTTTCACTCATACAAATTACACATTGACTAGAATATTGATGAATCAAATTATGAATAATCAAATTGTGATTGAATCAAATTATAATATTTGTTTATGATACTCTTGAGACACATTACAGGTTTAAAGTAATTAAGAGTCTAGATAGAAAAAAAAAGGTTTATTCAATGACAGTGTAAAAATTAACCCTTCTTTCACATTACACATAGTTCTTCTTTTACGATTCCAGAATAAATAGTTTCATTCATGCAAATTACACATTGACTAGAATATTGATGAATCAAATTATGATTGAATTAGATTATAATATTTGTTTATGATACTCTTGAGACACATTTCAGGTTTGAAGTAATTAAGAGTCTAGATAGAAAAAAAAAGGTTTATTCAATGACAGTGTAAAAATTAACACTTCTTTCACATGCACATAGTTCTTTTAGGATTCCAGAATAAATAGTTTCATTCATACAAATTACACATTGACTAGAATATTGATGAATCAAATTATGAATAATCAAATTGTGGTTGAATCAAATTATAATATTTATTTATGATACTCTGAGACACATTATAGGTTTAAAAAGTAATTAAGAGTCTAGATAGAAAAAAAGATTTATTCAACAACAGTGTAAAAATTAACACTTCTTTCACATTACACATTGTTCTTCTTTTAGGATTCCAGATTGAATAGTTTCATTCATACAAATTAGACATTGACTAGAATATTGATGTTTCATTTGAGAATTGGGTTGACTAATAGACCATATAAAAATATTCATAATACTAGGAGTATATTGACTAGAATTTTTGTGTTTCTTACAGGAAGTTGATTTTCTGATAAATCACATAAAAATATTTTTTAGACTTGGAGGATATTGGCTAGAATTCTGATTTCCGCAAAAGCATCAAGTTAAATCATAAACTACAATATTTTTATCAATACAGCATATTGATTAATAAATTTTAAAGTTTTATTTTGAACTCTGATTTTATTAATTTACTGTGAAAACATATTTTAAATATTTGGAGTATATTGACTAGACTAGGTGTGTTTTTGGAGCTCTGAGTTGAATAATAAATAGATAATATAAAAAACAGGTCATGTAAAGTTTTAAAAATATTTTTAAAACTTTAAACATATTGACTAGAATTTCGGTGTTTCATTCCAGCAATTCAATTATTATGTAAAAATATTTTTAATGTTTTGTTTGTTATTGTGCGACTAAACATTCAATAAGAAATTAAATATTTTTTCATATGAAACAAGTAGCATTATAATATATATTTTATTTAAAACTTCTTTAAGTTTTCGAAATAAATGTTGACTAGAATAATTTTATTTTTTCTATTGGGACAGGTTGACCCAACGCATGACCCCATTAATATTTTCCTGAAAAATGAAACATATAAAACAAAGATATTGCTAAAATAAATCAAAAATAAAATTTGTAAAACTAAGTATAATTGTTAAGTACATATATATTTTGACTTTAATTGATTTAAAGCTTTCATCAAAATGGAAACTATTTTGATGTATAATTCTAAGTATTTTCTTAATATGAATTACATAAATTAAAAATTTTGAAAACCAGTAAGGCACTCAAAACATAATTAATATTCTACATTCATTGTTTCAATATATCTAAACCTTAAACAATTTAACTATCTATGCATTTGTGTGTGTGATAGTGATAAGAAAATATACTCTGTACATTTGCTAAAATCATGTTTAGTAAAAATTTAATAATTGTCATGGAGTCATCAACTTTAAGTATGTTCAGATAAAGTAAAATTAAATTTTTCAACTTGTTTCAAGCTAATTTAAAAAAATATTTTTTTCTTTATCATATTTATGACAAGTTTGGGTTTTTCATTTTTAAATCCATAAAAATAAGTCTTTTATAGTTAAAAAATAACATCTATATAGATTTTTTAAATGATTCTTTATAATGACACACTCATACTTTCTTTTTTGTAATTGCTTCTCACATTCTATTAAAATAGTTCATACAATTATTTATATGAATTGATATTACAAAAAATAAATAAATAATTATGAAAATTAGCAGTTAGTTATTTTTTACAAAAAACTCAGTTAAATGGCAGCTATTAAACAGCAACATAGTCATTAAATATGAGTAACAAACAACGTGTGTGTAGGTAAAGTCAGCTATTGAAATTTTTGTGAAATAAATATATATGCTGAATATAGACATATAATATATTTTTAAGAATTTTAAAATCTATTTTCAACTGATTGATAGTCTTCTTCGATTTCTTCATTATCTGAAAGTTCATTTTCATCACTTTTCTTACTATCTAAAAGATTAGCGTGAATATTTGGTTTCAAATCTAAAGCTTTGTAAATAGCTTTTAAATTGTCTACTTTTATATAGTAAGGCAAATTAACTCCTGGCATTGTTTTTTGCATTTGTTCTAAGATGGAATAAGCAACTTTATAATTTTCTTGAGAGCAAAAATGTTCTATTAAAAATCCATATATATCTCCTTTTCGAATAGCTGCATCTACATTTTCATTATGGAGTAGATCTCTACATTGTTTGATGGCTTCTTCAGCACTGCTTTCATACAACTGCCGAATATCCACAAATTGTTTCACAATTTCGATTTTCATCTTAATATTTTCTAACTTACCAGCATTACTAGCAGAAGGTGATTTGGAGAGACTCTTGTAGGCTTCTGTCAGCGCTTCGAGAGCTTTTTCATAATTCTGATATTCATCAATCTCATCTTGGGCATATGCTTCATAAAAACTTGCCAACAAATCCAGTGCTTTTCCTTTTGTATAGAAAGTAATTATGTGTTTTATTATATCACCTCCACTTCTCCATTCAAGTGATTGCAAATAATTTGCAGCCATTACATATATTTCTCGTTGGCGTGAAACATTTGCAAAGAATATTATTCTTTCTGTGTCTCCTGATTTTAAAAGAGCTTTCATTGCTTTAATTTTATCACCCGATTGTGTAAATTTTTTAGCAGCTAAATGGTAATTTTCTTGTATCATGCACGATTCCCCTATTTTTTCCAATATGAAATTCCGCAATTTTTTATCTGCATCGTTTTTCTCAAGAGTAAATTTCTCTGCCAATTCTTCATTTATTGTTACATTGTTTTCGACACATAAATTTAAAGCCTCTTCATATTTCTTTGCCATTATGTAAAGGTTTACTGCTGTATCAAATTTACCTCTTTGAATAAAAAATTCAGCACAGCGCTGCAGCAATTGAGGATCAGCATCAGATGGAAGTTCCATGGCTATTTTTTGTAGCATGTCATACTCACCCTCTTGAAAAGCAAGTTCAACAGCATATTCTAAATTTCCAGATTTGTGATATAAAGAGATAGCATTAGTTAGTTGACCTTGTTGATGAAAATACTGAGCCACATCAGCCTTTTCTTCAGGGCCAGCCATCATAGCTAAATTCATAAGTTGTTCTTCGAAATTGTTTTCTTTGCAAATACGGATAGCATTTGTAAAAGCCCTGGCTTGAGTGAAAAAATGTATGGCTTCTTTTATATTATCCTGATTTTCAAATTGCCTACCAAGATGAAAGCAAGCCGCTCTGTTGCCTGTCTCATTCGCTATCTCGGCTGCTTTTTCCAAGTTATTACAATAACAGTATAACCGAACAAGGGAAAGATAATCCTCTGCTGTTTTGTAATATTGTAAAGCAGTTTCCATTTCATCAATACTCTCCAAATATTGAGCCCACCATTTATGAATCTCGGGATCTTTACTTTTTTGGACGTAGGATTCTAAAGCTCTTTGATCTTCAAACAACATGCGAGGGACTTCAAAATGATGGGTACCAGACTTTTCAAAATATTTAATTGCTGCATTAATTTCTCCCTCTCTCTCTAAATAATTAGCATAATTATAAAATGTATCTCTTAAATGTATCCTATCTTTTTTCTCTGCTATCTCTAAAGCTTTTTCCCATTGCCCTCGACTTTGATACAGCTTATTGATCCAGTCATATCGTCCACAACTTTTAAAAAGCTCTTCCGCTTCTGGATACATTTCTAAATGTATGGCTAGTATACCAACTTTAGTTTCAAGTTCCGGTTCATTTTCTGCATTTTTTAAAGCTCTAGCTGCATAAGTATGTCCCATTTTCCCTACACATATCCTTGCAACATCCAGTCTTTTAGTTTTGACACACATTTTTGCCATATTCTGCCAGACTGATTCTGACTTTATAGATTTTATAGCCAGAAAAGCTTCATCAAAACACCCAACAGAAAAAAAGTAGCTGAAATTTAAAAGAGCCTCTTTTGTTACTTTATCACTATCTTCAAGACCAATGAAGCTCTGCATGGTCTTTCTTTGAACTAATGATTTGTGTCCTTTTACATTTGCACTATTATCGTCAGAGTTTTCATCAACTTTAGATTTCTGTAACAGAAAATAATGAGGAATTTTAATTCCCAATAGATTAGATTGCTCTTCATCAAGAAAAAAATAATCTTGAATTATTAATATTTTATCAGGTGTCATGTATAATGATGCAACAATTGATTCAGGTTTCTTATCATTTTCCATGAAACTATTTCTTTTATTTAGAATTTTTCTGAAGCTGTTGCCTGTTATATTCTTTTTGAGAGGAAGAGGTAACAGTTTTGCTTCACAAATAATCATGCGAGGATCTTCTTTCACCCACACGTGATTTACGGGATAACGACCACTTGCTACTGATCCAAATTGGTTTGCATTTGAGGGAGCATTTTCTTCATTTGATCCTATACCAGTTGCAAAATCAAATCTTGAGATAACGTTTTTCTCCGTATCCCACACATATAAGGATGAATCATTTATGAATCCTGTCTTTGTTTTCATGCGAGCTGTAAAACTTACTTTATTGCCTTTGTTATTGCATTTCACTGAGGCAATCAATTTATCTTTCAATACATTTTTAGCAAATCCTGATGTTAATATTAATTTTGCTTCTCTACCACTGATGTCCCAAATTTTAATAACACCAACACTTGAGGCAGCTATAAAAAAGTTACCCGAAGCGTCCATCACACTCGGGTAACCTTCTTCCTTCGTAAAAGTGAAATATGCTTTCAATGTCCCCTGGAAAGTTTTTACGTCTATTTTGTTTTCATTTACAACGTATACACTTTGTTCATGTAAAAGAACAGTATCAGAAGCAGGTGCAAAGGTCCCTAGATGCATGGTTTTTTTCTCATCGAAGTTGACTTCATAAAATATTAATTTGTCATTACAACTCAGAACTACAATGTTTTTACTTAAGTAGACTGCCTTGATTTCAGTTTCAGTTAATAGATGCACTGACAGATCTCGAGAAACAAGTTCAATAGCTACTTGTCTAGCTGACATCTGAACTGCTGAAACACCATCATCAAAGGCAAAACACATTTTTTGCTTTGATATGATGTAAACATCTGTTGTAGTGATAAGTCCCATCACTTCAAGATTTTCACACCATTCAAAATTTCTTATACATCCGGTAACATTCATCATGTCTTCAATTTCCCAAATTATATCATTATCGTCTTCTTTATACATTAAATACCAAGAGAACACATACCCTTGGCTTGTACCAGCTGATAGGATATTCTTACTTGCTAGGAACGAAATACTCGTTATATGCTGAGTTGGAGCTGATGAAGGCAGAGAAAGTGTGGTACTTCTTTCAAATTCAACATTCCATAGATGAACAGAGCTTTCTCCTGCACTAACAGCCAGCAGTCCTTCACCAGCCCATGTTATAGCCACATCTGTACTTTTACCACTCATCTTAATTTTCCCTAACTCATTCACAGACCCATCTTGAGTTATACTAAATTGTGCTAAAATGAGAGATTTTGAAATTACAATTAATGTGTCTTTTTCCCTGTAATAAGCTAAGTAACGAATTGACGTTTCCATTTGTAACACCCCTTCACAATATCCGTTGCTCTTGATGTAATAAACAATTCCTGATTGGCACCCAACGAAGAAATCAAAATCATTTTCCCTCGCAAAAAAGTGTAATTTTCCCTCATATCCGTTATCATTTTGCCAACTTGAAAACATATTCAATGCCTTCTCGTCTCCGTCCACAGCAGCTTTTGCGAGTCGGCTAATTTCGCTATCACTATTGTCGGTATTAATGTTGCGAAACACGATATCTACAATGGGGTGTTTTAAGGAGTTAGAAAGTAAAATTTCAAAACTACCGCCTATTTCAAATTTCCACACATTCAGGCCACCATCAATGTCTCCAGTAATGAAAATTTTTCCACTTTCATTGAATTTTAGTACACTCACTACATTGTTATGATGCTTTGTGAAAGAATATATTTCTCTGCCACCAAGTTCACTCCAAACTGATAAATCTCCGCTTTCCCAACCAATCAGCAAACACTTCTTTGATGGATGCCACGCTAGAGTTGTGACTTGTATACCCAGCCGAGAAGTGATTTTGTTTCTTACAATAGTACTGTCATCTTTGTAAATGCTTACAAGACCTCCAGAGCCATCATCATAAGATGCACAAGCCATCAATGGAAAACATTTGTGCCAACTTAGCAATGTTTTTTGTGGTCCAACTAAAGGGTCCTCGATTTTTCGATCAACATATAAAGCCATAATTTTATATAATTAATTAATTTATTTGATCTGTAAAATTAAATCTAAAGCTTATTTACTGGCATGATAGATTTAAAAAAAAATGTATTAAAATAAAGATTAAAAAAAAAAAAATTCTACTTCTCTATTTTATTCGCAAATGTTTTGGTGATATGATGTGTTTTTTGCTACGCTGATGTCTAATTTTATATTACACACTATCAATAGTTTACTTAGCAACGGTCGTCAAAACATAAAAAACCAGGGTTACAGTGACAAAAATCCAAACTTTTTTTATAAGAAAAAGATGAGATTGAACACTTTTGAAAAATAAAATAAAATTTTTAAAAGAAAGGTATTAAATTAAATCAAAGGCATAAATTAAAAAAGAACTGGACTATTTGAGAAATGTTTTCATACTTTATAAATCCGATTTTAAACTATGACCGCCAATTCATTTGTTTACATAACAAAGAATAAATTCTTGGATGGTCGGAGCTTGATTAGAAGTCATTGTCATATGAAAAATGTTGATTTCATTATTAAACAGCATCAGTATGGTGTGGTTTCAAAATTTTTTATTCATGTATCTATTAGGTAAGAAGTTTTACTATGGTTAATTAAGTCTTTATGTTCACAAGAGTTATACTTCTGTAAATAAATAGCTTATGATGGTTTTCAGTAAATGTTTTACCGAGCTTTTTTGTTGTAATATAATTATTTAACAAAGCGATTCAGTTAAGTTCCAGTATAAACTACTAATACTTTTAATTAAAATACTTATAAAATTGCTGATGGTAACACTGACCAACGTCTTATCAAGTTTAAGGAGAATCAGATATAACAACAATTTGGTTGCAACACATCTGATGGTGAAGGTACAGTGAAAAATTGATTCGAATTTTACGTAGTTTCAAAAAAAAATAATAATCGTGAAATAAAAAAATAAATTTTACTCAAGGCTAGCTTTATTTAAATGGTTAAATTTTTTTAAAAATTTTTTGCTTTTAAGGAATTTTAAAATAGCTCTTTTATTAAATATAAATAATTCACTTTTTAATTACTTAGCTCTTTATTAAAAAAAGTCAACATTTTGTGTTTCTTAAAAATAATGCATGGCTAACTTTACGAATGTGCTAAGTCACAGAGCAAAGTGCTAACTGTTCACTTGTGAAAATGTGCTAAGTTAGATTATTTTTGAACCTGTTTAGTATCACAATTACGATTATTAAGTCATTTTAATTTGCACTTTTGTAAAATTGACTGTGTAAAATTAATACAACCTGTGGCGTAGTTAGGGGTTGGTGAGTATGCAAATGGTCATAGGCCCATCATTTGAAAAAGGCACAAAATCTGTCAACATAATTTTTTTTCTTCTTTAAATTTTTAATATATGTATAGTTTACAGTCAATGTGAATAGTCAGTTATTATTTATACTAACCGGTCAATGCTAACAATAACCAAATAATCTGGTTATGAATAATTTAAGCAAATTTATCACATTAATAGGTTATTGTTAGGTAATAATAACCAATGACGTTTGGTCAATGTCATTATTTGACACTTTTATTTTTCACTTTGACCGAAAAACATTATTAATTTTGACCCGTTAAACCGTTTGACACTGACCAAAAATCATTGATTATTATTAATAATAACCAGTTAAAAGTGAATGATTAGTGATATTTCTCACTTTGACCAAAAGAAGCGGTTATTATTAATATTGATCGGTTAGAATTAATAATAACTGATTATGGGGTGTCTCAGTAAGTCTGGACTAATTAATCTGCAATAAAATGCTTGTATGCCTTCAATTTTATCTGGGGTTAAAATCTCTTTGAAAAATGTTTTCTGAATCTGTTGAATACATTTCAAATCTAATCCCTGTTGTAAATTACTATAAATCCTCCCACAAAAGGAGATTTTTTCCCACTCATAGTAGGAATCACCTCCACAAAACTGTGGAACACTTAAAATGGAAGGTGCCTTGCTAGACAGCTAATTTGAACCAAAGAAATGATTTGACAATGAATACACCCCACTATTTTGAAGAAATAAAGACAGGTGTAGGGTATTAGGTGCTCACGCTCATGTAAAAATTCTTCTAGTTTCAGTTGTTATTTAAAAATTTAATTCAGGAAGGTCAGACAAAGTTTATTTTGGATTTTTTAATAAGCTATATGGATCAAATTGTTACAGCTTCTTGGCTTTTATAGTTAATTCAACTATTTAAATGAACAGCATGTACTGCAAGGATTTTTTGGGGGGATCGTAAGTAATCATTTTCTAAATATTTAAATAAATGCATTATATTTAAATTATTATTTCACGTTATGTGTGATCGATATATTTTCGAGAAATAGGGATCAAATGCAGAGATGCCTACTGTTCCGTTTTCTCCAAAATATGTTATTAAATGGTTGAGAGTTAAAAACCAAAACTGCAAAATTTTAGATAATTTTGGTGTAAAGTTAAAAATGCTTACCACGAGATAACTAGAACGAAATAGTGTCTCACTGAACTTTTGAATTATATATAGGTAGTGGTGGGAAAAGTAATTTTGTTTTGAAATTTACTTAAACCAAGAATCTAACATTGAAACATAAATATTGCTTACACTAGGAATAAAAAATCCCATGAAGCAACGAAAGTTGGCATTTCTGTATGTGTAGATTGAGAGAAACATTTGCTCTCCTCCCTTATAAGGTTATAAATTAGAATTTATAATATTTTGCAGTTTTTATTATTACTGTTTTAATGACAAAACATTTAATATGCACATTGATTTTTGGAAGCAAAAAAAGTGAATATTGTATAATTAAATGCTCGTTAATTATTCTTAAAATTAATCTGAGTCTTAAGAGAAAGTCAATAAATGTTAAAATTTTGAATGTTATTAGAATATAATTTTTTAAGTTTCCTGAAAAATAATTGCTAGAATATTGTGTATATTAGGTATACACATTGTTTCAGCTAATAGTGTCAACTACCAAGAATTTTCTTTTTATTCATCAATAGATAGATTTCGAGTTTAATCACTTGTAAAAGTTTAAAAGTTTGATTTTTTTCTTTTCTTTTAAATAGTTAGATTAAAGAACATATCGTTCATTGTTGACATTGTTTTTTTTTTTTTTTTTTTTTTTTTTTTTTTTTTTTACTTTCAAGTCACAGCTATATCAATCACTCACAATTTTTTACTATTATATTTTAATACTTTAAGAATAGCTTTCAATTATTCTTTTATTTACAAAGTGCGAAAAAAATGAATTTTTATTTTGTATAAACATGCTTGTTTTGTATTTTTAAGTTATATTTATTTAATATTTATCAAACTTTTTTCGAGTTATGGAACACCCTTCCACATCATCTCTGGTACAAAATTTTGTAATCTGTTTCCTGTATCCTTTCTTTTTTTCTTCTTTCAAATTGTCATTTTCTTCCCTTTTTTTTAAAAAGAAAAGAGAATTAGATTAAATAATATTTTATTTTATAACTCTTTTACAATACTTACATTATATTTGTTTCACTTTTATATCACTGCTATAAACATATTTTTGTAGTTATAAATTATGCTTGAAAAAGATTGGTATACTGTTTTTAAACAGGGTTCATAGAGTGTCCTTTATTTATATATTATATTTGTTTCTTATAATCAAAGTGAAATGGCAATAAGATAATATTAAGGCTATTACATGTAGTTTAAACCAACCATTACAACAGTTTAGTTTCTCAAAAAGAGTAGCGTCATTAAAGTGATAATAACAGCAATTTTTTTCTTTAAATAATTATCTTTATTTTAAGAATATATATAAAAAAAAAAACAATCAGCTTCTTATATATGGAAAAGTTAAGAGTCTGTTAAATTATTAAGCCTATGCAAATGTATTTTCGTAAAGATACAAAAAGCCCTATTTTATTCCCTATATTCAAATGATTGATATTTCCCTTTTTCCTAAAAAACACATTTTTAAATTAATTAAATCTAGTTAGTTTTAAAAACTTATTTTTTTTTATTTTTGCTGGTTGGTCCAAATTTATATAGTTCCAATACAGAGCTCAGATTCCTGAGAAATCGAATTTTGAAAAAGAAATATTCTATAAATTTCGAACTATTCAAGAACTATTCTATAAATTTCGTTCTAATTTTGTATTTAGCCTTGTTAAATTACCTCCTTTTCAAACGATGTGAAAAAATGAATACTATACAATTCAAATTTATTTTCCGACTATTATTAAATAAAATAATAAATATTTATTAAAAGTTATTTTTAGCATGGAATTATCTATGGATAATCGACCTTTGTAATTGAGTGCAAAACTTTTTCAATTCGCTTAAAAAGTTTTCGAGATGTGGCGAAATATGCTAAAAGTAAAATTAGCATTAAGGGGTTCTAACTTTGGATCACTCTTCTGTTCAAACAATGAGGATCATATTTCCCAGATTGCGGCTACCCCGAATACTTTGAGGTACAGAAATCCGAATCTGTCGAAAAAATTGTATGTTTATTCAAAGGAAATACGTTTTTGTGTCTGATTTCATAACTTAAATATCGTCTGCATTAATTAGTATATTTGAGGTCACCCCTTGTGCCACTAAGTCCTGGAATGTGAAGATCCGATCAAAAATCAAAAGCTATTTAGAATGGTCCTTTTTTTTGCTCACTGCACATGTTAAAAAATCTAAATTTGTGGAACAAGTTATTTTAAAACCATACCTGTGTCTTAATGCAAGAACAACCAATAATGTTAGACGAAAAGTGATGTAATCCGTTATTAAGGATTTTAACTTTTAATAATAAAATAAATCATTATATAATTTTAAAAGAATTTACTTTTTTTTGAATTTATACCGTATTATAAAATGAAAGAAAAGCATAATATATAATGCCAAAATTGCATTATATTATTATTATTTTTTAGGAAATGGAAAAATTGTGTCAACGAAATAGACTGTGTTTGAATCGGGTGCAAAATATACTAAACTGAAATTTTTTTTATTTTTACCAGAGATAATTTTTTTTATCTGGAATTTTATCATCGATTTTTTTTAGTGTTATCAGTATTAAATTTCTAGAATTACTTTCCGATATTTATCTTAATTGATAATACCGACTCATTAATAAATGTATCAATTTTATTTTTTAGTTCGGCTCCATTTAAAAGCATTCATAACAATACTAAATTAATTGGACTGTTCTGAAACTCGCGGTTGATAAGCTTTCTTTTAAATGCAGACTGTTGTAGGAGAAGTACATATCTATATCAAAGTTAGGGATGCCACTTTGGTTTCTATACCGCCCATGCATTAAAAGCTTTGATGTTATTTCGTTGAAATAATTATATCATTGAATTAAAGGAGGCACTTTTTATTTTCTTTTGCAAGTTGAGCAAATACCTCTGACATCCCAGGTAATGTCATGAAATTTTATCTGCTTTATTTTAGTTGCACAGAGGGGCGTTTTAATAAAACTTCAGGACAAAATTAATGGAGATGGATTCTGTTCTGCTGTTTTCCTTCAAAAAAATAATAAATAAAACCTGTCATATTTAGGTTTTATTTGGATCAGATCTTATAGTTCTGTCAAGTGCGTCATCT